GGGACAGCGACTGCGATTGGGACAGCGATGAGGAGGTGGACAAGGCAGACTGGCCCCTGAGGAGGATCGTGAAGGCATACGGCACGCTGCTGAACCGCAAGATCCCTCGCCGGTCCATCCGTGCCATCAACACCGCTCTGCAGCCCAGCCGCTCCATTGTGGCCTCGCTATCCCGACCCATCCCCATCAGCGAGACGACACACGTCGCTCTTCCTCCCGAGATCCAGACGACGATCGCCTCCCTGCTGACCCCCTCCCCCTCCGTCTCCATCGGCGAGAACCCATTCGGCACACGCATCAACCACGCCATGCAGCAGTACGTGACGGCCGCCGGCCACAGCATCATCCAGCACGGCAACGTCCATGTGGTGGGCGGGCCGGGCCAGCCACCGCTGCGCCCCTTCGCCATCGGCGGGGAGACGGGCCGCCGCATGGGCATCTGCGAGGTGATCTTTCGTGTCGTTCGGATGGAAACGCTGCGGTGGGGCATCAACCTGACGCTCAAGCACGGGACCGAGAACGACGAGCACATCATCAGGACCATGCGGGTGGCGTAACTTGGCTCTGCCTGCCGTGCTATGGGACGAGACGGCCGAGATGGGTGGGATGCAGACTGGCGGGAAGGGAAGATGTGTCTGATCTCTCTGGCCATGCCGAGGGGAGGGCTGGCGTGCGTGCGATGGCGGCTGGATAGTCATGTGGGCCGCAGCGATGAAGACACTTGATCAGGACTGTTAGGACTGTGTGGCTTAGCCTTGCCTTGCCGTACAATTAACGGCACCTATATATAGGTGTGAAGGCCTTATTGTAGCAATGACGACTCATGTGATCAAAAACGTGCCCAGCCATTCTCTCTTTCTCACGGAGCCTGTGGCATCATTCGCGCATTGTGTCAATCGCTGTGTCTCTGTCTCTTGTGCGATATATAAGAGAGAAAGCGTGTTATTTTTGTGTGTTATCGCACCACAGGGAGAGAAAAAGAGAGAGCGTAGGAAGGCTGTGATGTGTATGGCTGTGTGTGACAGGAGCGGCGACGGGTCGTATGGCTAGATGCACTCCACTATCAGGAGGGAGCGCAAGCGACGTGTGTGTGTGTGTGTGTGTGGCGTCATTTCAGGTCTGTACGCTTGAGCACAAGAGATGACCAGTGTACGTCTAGGAGCAGCAGCGGCCGCAGCACCGATGGCCACAACACAGACGGGGAACTAGCTGGGTGTGCGTGTGACTGATCGACTTGTACACGTATACGTACATGCATACACGTGTACACAGTTTGCTTTGCTTGCCGGGCCGACTCGGCAACCTCTCGGCCGAGACAGGCGAAGCATGCTTCAGCATGACAGGGCGAAGCATGAAGATCAATGTCCTTATCTCCGCCTTGATCGTACTCTTTGCCGGCCATGCTCAAGGCTTGAGATATTTCCCACTCGATGATGACACACCTGCTCAACTGTACAGCAATGGCCTCTACAACGTGGAGGGTACTATCGATGTGTGTGCAGGGCTATCAATGTGTGTGCGCGATGTTGGTGTGCAGCCTTACCTCATGTGCCTCCGTTCGTCGGATACGAAACGATGGTGTTCGAACTAAGTGAGTCGACTTCACAAATCGCTGTGCCGCATGAAGGATCTTGTGTGAATGTTCTTCATTCAGCGTTTCGCTTTGGTGACAGGCGGCCGGGTCTCTTCACTGTCGATGGTACGAGACACACAACACAACACAACACAACCTGTTGCGTCTGGCTGCTTTGATCTCAGCTACGCTAATCTTCCGACTTATACCAAACAACGAACTGTGGCGTGAGGACACACACACACACACATGCACAGCAAGATGTCGGCAGACAGACAGACAGACAGACGGACGGACAGACAGACAGACAGACAGACGGACGGACAGACAGACGGACGGACGGACAGACGGACGGACAGACAGACAGACAGGCGAATTATGTGCGTGTCGATGTCAGAGGCGGGACGTCAGGCCTTTGATCAGTTTCTGCAACGGCGAGACCGAACAGAGGTAACCACCCACCAACACACGCACAGAGTCACTCCTGTCTGCGTCTCCTTTAGTGGGCAGCCAATCTGCATGGCATTGACCTTGCCGATGCCCGCCAGTAGATCTATGCACACACAAACAAACAAATGGTATGTACCGACCGATAGCTGTTTGTCCGTGCGTCTGTATTCAGATATCTTCCTACGCCATATCGGCAGTATCTTTGGGTCAACGCCGTGCTCGCAGGGGCCGATCGCATCCTTTACAATCAGTATCGGAGGCACCTCACCGCGCTGGAGATAAGGCGGCTCATCCAGATGCACACAGTGGTGATGTCAGCATCCAGATACGCCGGCACCACATTGCATTCGGTCAGCAACAGATGCACACACACACAAACCGACACCCACACAGAAACAGACAGACAACACATGTACGGCACGCACACGCACAAATCATGACCTGCTGACTATCTTCCTTCCTGATCTGGTGTGTGGATGTACGGCGTGTCAGGCCAGGGGACGCCGACCGAAGCCGCCAAGAAGGCGCTCAATGGCGACAGATGTGGTGAAGCGAATGCTAGAGGCTTGCCACCATGACACACACACACACACACACAAGGGCGTGTGTGTTCATGCAGCCCATTGCAGCCCTTGACCTTGACGTGTCGGGCATCCGTGACATGGGAGTTCTAGAGGTCTGGTCGGGTGTGGACTTCAGGTGCCCGTTGCTGTCGGTTCCGCTGCTAGATGCAGTCCTTGAGGAGGTCAGTACACGGAGCACTTCATCATACGGGCGTATGCAATGTGGTGCCGTGTTGCAGTGTCCCCACGTCAAGGAGAGCTGGTTCACCGAGACATTCAACCAGAAGAAGAAGAAGAAAATCCAATCTCTCGCTAATCAACCGGTAGTAGAAGGCTGTAAGCTGCTCTTATGATGTGGATGATATATCTGAACCCCTTCTGACGTGGCAGATGGTCTCAGCCGCTGTCGGTTTGGCCGTCCAAGCTGCCCTCAAACACGGCGACATCAAAATCGACGTAAGAATATGAACAGAGCGCACCCACCCTCAGCAAGGCTGTCAGCCGCACCGGGTCTGTGTCTGTCCCAGATGCTCGGCGATGTTGAGGAGGAGACCCTGTGTCTGCTGTTCGCCCAGCACTGTGGTCTGCACATCCCCTCTCTCGATCAAATCCAGCGAATCCGACAGACCATCGCCAAGAGAGGTGAGTCCCCGGCCGTGAGACAGTGTGGTTTCTTATAAATAGCTTGTCTGATCAGAGAGGGATGACGAGTCGCGGCTGAGGCAGCTTGTGCACAGCGCCTTCGTCACTGTCAACTCGGTGCTGCAGGACAAGTCAGTGGAAGGGGGTGAGTTGGAGCTCGCCCTCCCTGACTGAGCTGGGAACGACGCGCGAGGACATCGAGCAGAAGAACGCCTCTCTGGCTGCCTCAGCTCCAGCCATCCCCGCTACAGCTGGCACCCCCACCCACGCCCGTCCAAAGCGGTCGCGGTTCGATCAGGGGCCTGCCGAAGCAGCTGCCGCGAAGAAGTCACGTTTTGACAAGCCACACAAAGACGGCTGAGCCACATCGTTGCCTCTCCTTGAAAACCTGCCGTGTCAGCTTCTTGAATATCGACTATGAATGGATGACAATGGATCGAATGCATTCGCGTCAATGCATCAACTGACATCAACGCATCAATAGTCACACACGCACACGCACAGCACACAGTCTGCAATCTGGCACATCAATAGTCACACTCGCCCTCGACGCCATTTCCCTGTCCATCAAGGCCACACACGCCTCTCACCTTGGCGACCACGTCACGGCCGCCGCCTACCACCGACAGTCCGCCTCGCTCGTCCAGTCGGCCGTCGACTCGCTCGTCGCGCAAGGCAAACCCAGAAAGGCCGGAGAGATTCAAGTGAGCAGTGAGAGAGACAGACAGAGACAATGAGGGCACAACACACACACCGACTTGTGTGTGTGTGTGTGTGTGTGTGTGTGTGCATCGTTTCATTGGACAGCACGAGGTGTCTCGTGACTTGTTGCGGGCGTCGAGCGAGCTTGAGAGTGCAGGTCTGCTGGCGTCGAGTCGGCTGCTGCGGTCGGCCTCGATCAGCGCCCACGAGCTGGGCAAAGCCATGGAGAGCGGCGAGCTGTTCGACGCCAACGAGATCCGCGAGCAGCAGGCCGCGCTGGTCAGTCTGGTGGCCAAGTCGGTGCAGGTGGTCGCCGACGAGGAGGCCATGCACGTCCAACTCAAACAGCTCCAGGCACACACATCAACACACACACACACACATGAATCAGTGTTGTGTGTGTTTGTCTGATCAGGCTCGTGTGTCTGGCGAGCGTGTGGGTGTGGCGGCCGACACGGACGTCATCCAACAGGAGACCGCCGTCAACCAACAAAAGGAACTCCTCAACGTAAGTGCGCCACTCCATATACTTCTGCAGCCAATCCCTCTCTGTGTGTCTGTGTGCGATGATTGTGTCGGTGGATCAGCGCGAGTTGGCGGCGGCCGAGGGCACTCGTGAGAGTGCAAAGCTGGAGGGTCAGCTCAAGCTGCGCAAGGAGGCCGTCGAGACAGAGAGGGAGGTGGCAGCCGTCAGGGCGGAACTCGCCGAGAAGAGACACCAAATCCACACAGAGATGAAACAAATCGCCAAGGAAATCGACACACTCGACGTAAGCCAGCCGCAACCACAACACACACACACACACCTCTGATATGTGTCTATGAACTGTGTAAATGTCAATCCCTCTCTCCATGGATCTATGGATCAGAGTGCGCCTGCTCGCCTGTCGGCCGACCACCTGTAAGCCACCCACACACCCACCCACACCTGGCATGAGCCCTAACGTGCACTCCTCCTGTGTGTGATGATATGATGTCCTGTCTGTCAGCGTGTCTCGTGTGGGTGAGCTGCGTGGGCGTCTTCGCGAGCTCGACACGCGCATTGGCAACGTGATAGCCGAGGAGGACATGTTGGTGACTCACGCCAGCACACACCCAGCCGCCCCCCAGTCGGCCCCCACTCACCGCTTCACCCAGCTGATCCCTCCCGAGGCCTCGCGCCGCCCCAGCAAGTCGGCCCCGCCCGCATCTCTCGACACGCAGATCGCAGCGCTCGAGGGTGACGTCGACAAGATGGCCAGCCGAGTCGACGGTCAGCCAGCCAGAGACGCAGGCAGAGAGACAGAGAGAGAGAGGGATGTCTGTGCTGTGTGTGTCTACAGGTTTGGCTGTGAGTGTGGCGTCGTTGGAGAGTGCGGCCCACGACAAGCGAAAGGCGGTTGTCGAGCGGGACATTACCCACAAGAAGGCAAAACTCGCCATCAAAGCCGAACGGGCCGCACAGGAAGGTATCACATCAAATGCCATCCATCACACGGACACACGATAAGCACATGGTGTGGGGTCGATATGTGTCTGTGAGGTGGGGCGTTGGCGGACGAGTTGATTGCCGAGGAGGGCAGTGCGGAGGAGGCCGAGGAAGGGGAGCTCGTCGACAAGGCGTCTGCCCACAAGCAGACCACCGACCTCATCAACGAGGGCAAACACGCCATCCAACAGCAACAGAGTGAGTCAGGGAGGGAACCACACACTGATTGAGGTGCTGCGCTGTCTTGTGTTGTGTGTGTGTGTCTCTCCCTCTCTGTCTTGTGTTGATTAGCTGTGTTCCCGATCAGTGCCGCTCAGGTGAAAGCGCTTACCGACACACTGAATCTATCTGTTCAGATCGCCTCTATCTGACCAGACAGGACTCATCAGACAGGAGTTTTTCTAAGCAAGCGTATTCTTTTATTTCACCAGACGGATACAAAAACAAAATAAGCGACAGACTCATGAAAACAAGAGAACCCTCTTACACGATCAGCCCTATCTCTGAGTTTGCTTCACACATCCAATGGCAACACAATTTTGCTTGCCGATTGATCATTGCTGATCGGGTTCAAGATTGCGGCCGTCCATGAGTAGTGAGTGAGAGTGCCAAGATGCGGCTGGGGGGTATGAGGATCAAACACCGGACGCTCAAACGTTGATATTATCAACCCCACGCACAAACAAACATTCACCATCAGCAACGTAGCCTCAGCCGTTGAGAGACTGGCCCCC